GCAGATCCCACTCAGAAGTGACCACGGTGGGTCCTGGGCCCTGTGATAGCCACATGGAGTGGTGGATTAAACTATCTTTGCTGGGGACTTGGCCGTGTTTGATAAGCTACCACTATGCCCAGAAAGGACTCCGAGCAACAGCCCACCATGCAGTGCTGCCCATGGGGCCCGGGCAGGCAGTGTCCCAACATGACAGGCCATTGCTGTGAGAGAGGACTAGGCTCTGGGGAGAGGATGACACCCGGTCGGGAGTCAGAAAAATGCTTCAGAGTCACCCTGTCCTGGGGCAGGTGCAGTGGCCAACAGCAAAGGGGCTGGCATGACCCTGGTCCTCACACAGGCTGCACCAGGCTCTGTCCGCAGTCGCCCTCCCAGCACAGGGCTCCCCAGCTCTGCCCTCGCAGCCACTTCCTCTTTGGGGGCCACATGGGGGACCCTAACCCCCCTGCCCAGGCTCCGGGGCAGCAGCGGCAGGAAGCAGGACCAAACCCTTCCCTAGTTACTCAAGGCTGAGGCTTCTTGCAGGGGAGTGTGCTTCCGTCGCCTGCTCCGGTATTGTCCAGATCTACGCAGCTCGCCGAGGGCGGGCACAGCCTGGCCAAGCTCCAGCACTGCCGAGGACACATGCGCGTGCCCTGTGCATTCCACCAGGCAGCCTTGGGGCCTGTGGCCACTGGATGGGGATCATGCACGATTGGAGTGCTGCGAGGCCCGGGAAGGGGCCAGGTTCCCAAGGGGAGGGAGTTCTGCATGGCAGAGGCAAAGGGGAAGGAAGTGGAAGGAAAGGGCACCCTGGGACCTCATCGTCCTCCCACGCGGCAGCAGCCGGGCCCTCAGGACACTGCAGACCATACCTTGGTCCCAGGAGGCCAGCGCCTCCTGCCCCACTCCCACACTGATACCACCAGGTACCTGATGGGCTTCCCTCCAGGCTGGCCTTTGGCTGGTCCTTGGGCTTTTGGTTTTAAAGCACTAGAGTCTATCAACTTTGTATAATTAGATACAAAGAAAAAAATTATTTAAAGTAATAAAGTTAAGCGGGGCATAGTGGCTCACACCTGTAATCCCATCACTCAGGAGGCTGAGGCAGGAGGATCATTACCAGTTTGAGACCAGCCTGGACTACACAGTGAGCTCAAGGCCAGGCTGAAGTGCATAGTGGGACCCTGTCTCAAAAAGACAAAAGAATAAATAAATAAGTAAGTAAATAACATTAGTGTTTGAACTATTTTTCTGAGATGACTGCCTTATACATTTGTCTAACTCACTGGGACCTGGTGTGTTCGGTCCTGACACCTCCATCCCCAAGCTGCCGGTGACGGGATCCACCCAGCAGTCTCTTTGGTGCCTGTGCTCCCCATAGGCAGCATAGGAAACAGCCTTGGGACTGTTTCCATCCCAGCACTGCAGCCACCACGACATCCGGAGATGCCTCCGGAGCCCGGCCCTGCGAGGACATGGGGCTCTGCCGCTGCCTGGGGACCTGGTAACCAGGTCTCCTTGGGTCTGCAGCTGAGCACCACCCCTGCAGCCACGTGGCCACACTCCCAGAACTACGGGGAGCACCTTTTCCCCGACTCAGTCAGCACCTCCAAGCCAGCTACAAGTAATTATCACAGGCAAATTTACTTCATGAGCTATCTTTGGAATTTTTTTCAGTGCTACACTTGCCTTTAGGTCCTAGGCCTTGAGCCTCCATTAGAGTTCCTAGGACTGATTGGGTAACAGATTTCAAAACTGGTCAGCAGGGAGACTTCGTCTCACATTTGGTGCAACATTGCTAGAGGAGACAGCCGAGTGTCAAAATTACATCTTTACTCTAAAAAGTTCCCAGTGAGATTCTAAACTGACTGATTACTTGAGACTCACTTTAAAAACTGACCCCAATTTGTCATTGGCCCGAACATGCCCCCTGCCAGTCTGTAGCCCATAGAGCACCACAAGGGCAGTGCAGGAACCAAAAGGGCACAGCATGATCCGGAAGGAAAAGAAGCTTTGTGTGGAAGGAGCTACTAGCCTGAACCTCTGTGTGATGGGGACAGCAGCCCTGAATGCCAAGGAAGCAAACTGGTGACAGGGTAGCAAGCTCAGCCTGCAGCCCAGCCCCAGGAGCCCCTGCCCCAGACACCCAGGGGGCACCCCCTGCAGCCAGACACCTCACATCCTTCCGGTTCTCCAGCTCTGAGAAGCGCACTCGATGGGAATCTGCGTGTGTGTGGATTTTATTGGTACATTTTAGATGTACCCCCTTACATCTTGCTGCTGGTTTTTTCCCATTTCCTCCCTCTCCACTTTCTTCCTCTCCTTAGGGAATCTGCTTTTCAATAGAGCTGTAAATTGTCTGAGAAGGAAATAAACTTGGCTCCAGTGACACAGATAGAATGATACCAAAGACCTAAGGAGAGCCCCTGCCCAAGATGGGCGCTGAAGATGCGCGTGAAGAGGGCAAACCAGTCCCAACTGGTGCCAAACTCAGCTGGCATCGGGGGCTGGCATCAGGGCAGCAACACCAGACGGGCACCTCGTGCACCAGGAATGGCACAGAGGCACTGTCTGGGAACGAGCGCTGCCCAGGGGACAGTGCAAGGCCAGCCTTTGAGGGGAGGGGCTGGGCAGTGTCTCGAGATCCACACTCAGAGCCTCGAGTGACTGATGGGAAGGTGAGGAAAGGTGTGCAGCTGATACGGGATCTCATCCTAGGTGATGAAGACAGCCTGGGGGTGCATGCAGAGGTGTGGGGGGGGGGTGATTCCCACACTTAAAGGACACTGCAGGAGCTCTGCCCCGGGGGGGGGGTATCAGGGCAGCTCCTGGGAGGCCCAGTGCCTCTGCTGTCTTCTCCTGCAGGACAGGTCAGGGGTGGAGTGAGCATCTGCTGGGAGGAGCTGCCCCAACCTGCCTGCACTGGCCTCACCCACCTGGACAGCAGCAGGCTACACTTCAAGGCTGCAGCAGCAGCCAAGTGGATGGGCAGGAAGGCTGTCAGTGACTGTGAGCACAGCCGGAGACCCGCCGGGAGGCCCGCATGCAGCAGTCAGCACAGCAGCCGTGCGAACCGCGTGCGAGCGGAAGGACCCAGACTTCTGGTGTGGGCTCATGTGATCGAGCCCATGGCTGAGAGAGGAAAGAACCTGAAACTTGTGCTGCTGAGCCTTTCTCAACAGTCCCCCAAAAAACAAGGCCCACACTGCGAAAGGGAACTCACCAGGCCTGGCAGCGCACACCTGCAACCCCAGCACTCCAGGAGGCTGAGGCAGGAGGACTGAAAGCTCCAGCCCAGCCTGCACAGCTTGGCCACTTATCAAGACCCCACCTCAAAGTAAAGAAGGGCTGGAGATGCAGTTCACCTTGTAGACCCTGACACAAAAAAAACAAAAAGAAAAAGAATACTGGAAAGGTCAGGAACCTTGGCCAGCATCACACAGCACGTAAACAGCAGAGGTGAGACCCAGACCAAGGAGCCTCTCAGCCCAGACAGGCATCTGGAAAACAGTGAAGCCCAGAGGGGCAGCAGGGAGCGGGCATCAACACAGTTGCATGTCCGGAGGCCACCAGAAGGATGCCATGGGCACTGCAGGTGAAGACAGAGCTGTCATCCCAGCACTCAGGGAGGCTGAAGCAGGAAGGTTCCAAGTCCAACCCAGCCTGGGCTACTTAGTGAAACCTTGTCTCAGAATAAAACCAGAAAGTCTGGAGATGTGGCTCAGAGGGAAGACTCTCCCTGGGCTCACCTCTCAGTACCCAGAGAGGGAAGGCAAGGAGGGAGGGAGAAAGAGAAAAGAGCAGCAAGAGCCACCCAGGACTGCAGATGACCCCGCAGCGAGCATCCCGACCGAGTGGGGCCCGGTGCTGGTGTGGGGCTCCCCATCATGTGTAGGGCACCCTGAGGGGACATGTGCCATGAGAACGGGGGGAGGAAGGAGAAACGGGCACAGGCACTACAGGGTGACCCCAACCCGCTGTCCTCATGGGGATCTGCCTCAGGACAGTAGAGCACAAAGAAGCTGCACTGCCAGTTCTGAGTCCCGCACCACCCGGCAGGGAGCAGTGAGAGACACAGTGTCCACCTGAGCCTGTTCGGGCCCCACGGGGCCGGTGTGAGCAGTCTCCTGGTAACCACCAGAGCCCTAGGCCGCCCTGGCCTGACAGCTGGACAGTGGTGAAGGGAGGCGTGGGGGCCAGCCCCACCCTGGACCCTACTCATACCCGTCCACGAGGGACCTGCTGGGCCTCCAGGACCAGGACGAGGACAGAAGCTGCCACACAGCATCCTGTGGCCCAGAGGGCTCTGTGTGCCCACACAGCCAAGCTCTGGGTCTCACAGCTTTGCAGAGCATGGCTGGGAGCAGAGTTTCAAAATGTGATGTTGCCGTGGCACTGCTGGACCCAGCACCATCCCCACACATCCCTCAAACTCCTCAGCCTCCAGTGTGACCTGTGTGGAACCAGTAACCAGGCAGAGAGTCAGCAGGGCAGGCCATGGACCCCTCAGGATGTGGAGACCGCACACCGACTATGCACAGGGTGACGTTCCCAGGCACACAAGAGCTATGGAGAAGCCCAGACCACCACACAGCCCCAAGGGCCTGGGGCTGCAAGGCCACAGCTTTTTCCCCCAGCCCTGCAAATCAGCATTGCCCTCAGGACAGGGGCCAGCCTCTCCTCCTACCCCTGCACCCACTTCTGCTGTGCTCCCCTAAGCCTAAGGTCTTTCCTGGGCACCTGCTGCCACTTTACAGGGCCCCAGGCCAGGGTTCATCCCATGCAGGGCACGCAGACACCACAAGCAGAGCCTCAGAAACAAAGTCCAGGAAACCTGAACAGGTAAAATCGAGGTCACCACAAAACATGGCTCCTTCCACCCGGACGGCAGGAGCTCCCTGAACGCAGCCATAAGTACAGGATGTGTGGGGTGCACCACCCACAGCTGAGGTCCCTGAGGGTCAGCACGGTGGAGTTCAAAAGCATACCCTGGGAGGAAAGACAAGCTGATAGCCTACCTTAGTGCAGAAAGCACGCTTGCTGTCTCCTGGTTTGGGGGCAGAGTTGCCCACACACAACACCTGACTACGTCCAGCTGTGCGTCCTCAGGGAGGACACCAGGATCTGTATAGATAGAGGGGGAGGAGGCCAGGCCCACAGTCCACTCCCAGAGCCTTTGAGGGCAGCCGCCCGGGGCCTCTGGATGCCCGATCTGACTCGTTAGCCTCAGCTGCCAGTCATGTGGCCCCACACACGCGGTCAAGTGACTCTCGCCAGGCACAGCGGCCAGCACCCAGTTAACCTCTTCCCATGCTGGATGCTGCAGCCTCTGCCTGGAAAGCATGGTGCCCATTACCTGAGCAAACCTTCTGGGACGCACGGCGCTCTCTAGGCCCTCGAAGGTTAAGTGAGTCCCAGATGTGAGGCCTGGGGACTGGGTCAGAGAGGTGGTCATGGCCTGGCGGGTGTCTGCAGTCCTCCCGAGCACTGGAGCTGCCCTGCTCTTCCCCACACACCCAGTTCCATCTGCAGAGCTCCTCCCACCCCACTGCCCACGGTCCCCGAATCCACGCACTCCTTCGCGCCCCCTCACCCTCACGCTGCCTCCTTGGGCTGCTGTACCCACAACCTTGCATCCACAACCCTGTGTCCATGACCTGTGACTCCACCAAGAGCTAGCATGTGGCCCAACCACACAGGCAGTCGCACCTAGGATTTGGTAAATAAGCACATGGTACCAGCCCAGTGCAGCAGCTCTGAGACAGCAAAACCACATCTCAAAGTGGGAAAAAAAATTAAAAAGGGCTGGAGATGTCGCTGGGTGAAAAGGGGCTGGGCTCAGTCTTAGTACTATAACAAAATTAAAAATGGATAAATGAAAGTTTTGGCGGGGGGTGGGTGGGGAGTTTGTTTGTTCTTATGTTTTTGGTTATTTTGGGGAGGGTTTTTGTTTTTTGAGACCAGGTTTTACTATCCAGCCTCAAACTGACAGAGATCCTCTTGCTTCCAGCCTCTCAAGTGCTGGAATCACAAGCATGCCCCACCATGCTATGAAGAAGTTTTAATCCTAAAACTTCTCTAAATAAAATAAAATAAATAAATAAATAAATAAATAAATAAATAAATAAAAGCTAAGCCTGGTAGTGCACACCTGTAATCCCAGCACTTGGCAAGCTGAGGCAAGAGGATTAGTGAATTTGAGGCCAGCCAGACCTACATAGTGAGTTCAGGACCATCCTGGACTACATAGTGAGACCCCATCGAGAGAGAGAGAAAGAGAAAGAGAGAGAGAGAGAGAGAGAGAGAGAGAGAGAGAGAGAACAAAATTTAATCAAGGGAGTGAAAGATTCTATACACTAAAAACTATAAAATGCTGATGAAAATATTAGAGATAAACGAATGGAAAGGTCTCCCACATTAATGAACTGGAAGAACAGATATTGTCCAAATATCCACCCTACTCAAGGTGATCGATAATCAATGCACTCTCCGTCAAAATGCCAATAGTATTTTTCACAGAAAAAAAAATCCTAAAATTCATATGGTTCCATAGAAGATCCCAAATAGCCAATGAAATACTGAGCAAGAAGACCAAAGTGAAAGGCCTCTTGATTCCAAGTTATATCACAAACCATACTAATCAAGACATATGACATTGGGGCTGGGGATTTAGCTCAGCAGTATAAGCACCTGCCTTGCAGTGCACAGTCGTGAATTCGATCCCTGGTACCAATTTTTTAAAAATCGAAGACAGTATGACACTGACAGGAAAATATTGGAGACTACTGGGTCAGAACCGAGAGATTCACATGGGAACCAAAATCAACTCACAGCCCATCAACTACACTTCAGTGAGTAACCAAGAACACACAACAGGGAAGGACAGCTCCTCCAAAAACACTCACAGGAAAGAAACCAGACTCTCAGGGTCAGGATTTAACTCAGTGGCTCAAGCTTTCCTGGTAAGCTTGGGTCATGAGTTTGATCCCCAGTCCAAAAAAAAAAACACACTCTCATGCCACACGTAAAGGGCAAAGCAGGTAAAGACTAAAGCAGAAAGAGCCGGGCGTGGTAGCTCACGCCTGTAATCCCAGTACTCAAAAGGCTGAGGCAGGAGGATCGTTGCGAATTCAAGATCAACCTGGGCCACAAAATGAGCTCAAGGCCAGCCTGAACTGCATAGCGAAACCCTGTCTCAAAAAGACAAAAAAAAAGAAAAGAAAGAAAAAGACTAAAGCAGAAGACCTGAGAAGACCCTTAGGTACCCAGGCATGTAGGAAGCTGCTCAGCACCCCTCACTGGGGATGCACATCAGAGCCAGAGTTGGACAAGGTGGCCATTCACCCCCTGACGGGGAGCGAGGGGTCAGCGCTGGCATCACCGGGGCTAGAAGAACGGGGAGCTTTGGGCCCAGGTTAGGATGGAAACCAGTACAGCTGCTATGGGAAGCAGCACAGAGAGTCCTTGAAAGACAAGAACGCAAATGCCAAGGGACCCACAACACAATGCCACTTCTGAACACACACCCAGTGGCCCTGCCGTGGGGTCTCAGAGGCGGCTGTGCTCCACACTCACTAGAGCCAAAACAGGAGCAGGCGCGGCCAGAGAGCGAGCAAGGTGAGGCAGCTGCAGCACATGCAGCCTGGCAGATGCAGGGAAAGAAGGGAACTCAGCCACCGCTACACGGATGGACCCAGCAAACAGCAGGCCAGACAGGGAACCCCTGGGTGCATGGGGAGCTGTGGTGGCTCAGGGTGGGTGGACAGGGACAGGAGAGAGCACCTCCCACTCACAGAGCAGCAGAGTCTGAAAAGCTGCCTGCAGCCTGCTGTGCAAGGGACAGTGCCCACCACTGAGCAGAGGAGACCAGAACAGCACCGGGGAGGCAGAGCTCGGGTCACTGTGCCTGCATGACAGCAAAGGCGGAGAGGCAGAGGTGATGCCAGGCAGGATGGATGTACCTGGCTCATTGAGCAAGGTGCACATGTAGAACCCAGGCAACCTTTATGTTAACCACATCACAAAGTGATTTTTTTACATGGTCAATAATAGTTTTTGTACATATGTATTGTTTTTTTTTTTTTTTTTTGTCTTTTTCCTTTTTATCGGTACCGGGGATTGAACTTACGACTGCCTGCTTGCAAGGCAGGTGCTTAGGCCACTGAGCTAAATCTCCAGCCCCTGTACATATGTATTGTACATTATGATTACATACATCACAGGGAGTTTGCACAGGCATGTGACATCTCAATTCCTTTTTTTAAAACTCCCCCTCTCCTCCCAAAGTGATTTCTTAAAAGTAAGACATTATTTCTGGACGTGACATTGCACATCTGTAACCCCAGCTACTCAGGAGGCTGAGTCTTGAGGACCACAAGTTCAAGACTAGCTTGGACAAGTTAGGGAGTCTCAAAGAAATTTAAAAAGAGGTATTGTTCAATGGGAACATGGAAGGAAAGAGGAAAGAAAGGAAGGAGGGTGTCTTAGTTACTTTTCTCTTGTTGCTGGGACAAAATACTCAACATCCAAAATGAAGGAAGGAAAGGTTTATTTAGCTCACAGTGTGTGGAGGTTTCAGTCCATAGTCAGCTGTACCAAGGCAGGGTGGCATAGCCCAGGGGCAACAGTGCCAAGTGGCAGAAGACAGCAAAATAAGCAATAGCAGAAGGAGAAACCAAGCCTCTTCTCCTCCTTTATATTGCAAATAGGTTGCCTGCCCCCTAGGATACATGTAGCACACACACAGTCTCCCATCCCCTCCTCTTGCACAGGATGAGGATGTTAACAAAGTGAGGATCCTGGCTTCCTGCTGAGTTGCTTAAATTTCTAAATTTCTCAGGTTGACACATGTATCAGCCATTACAATCCACCCCTTTGGTACCAGAACTGGGGTTGTTGCTGTGACTGTGCCTGATCAGGTGGTTCAAGAGCCTTTGGGAATGAATGGCTTGTGGGAAGAGTTCGGAAAGGTTTGGAGATATTGCCTGAAAGAGTGGCACTGGAACAGCCTAGGCTGTTCTGTGTGGGAGAGTCTGGTCAGAGCTCAGGAGACAGAAGGCTTATAGAAATCCTGCCAGTAAAAACCATGTTCAGAGGTTTCTGCTAGAAGGAAGGACTACATTGTTTTTGAACTCTGGTTGTGTGTTATAGACTGGCAGAAAGTTTGTCTGCATTTTTCTTTTGTCCAGACTTTGCTTAAGACTAAGATTAAGGGCAGTAGACTAATCAATCTGGCAGAAGAAATTCCAAGGCAGTTGAAAGCTGAGGCTGTAGCACGGCTATTATTCAGGGTTTGTAGCAGATTTCTGTGGAGATCAAGAGCAAAGAGCCCAGAAAGATGATTTAAAATGAGTTTGGCCAGAAAGAAAGCTCCGTAAAGCTGTGGACTGCAAAGACAGAGCTGAGGAGATGTGGATTGCTGAGAAGAAACAGGAGAATAGAAAAGATGGCCTGGGGGCACCACAAGCCGCAACAAGTCCCCACACTTTGCAGCCTCAAAACTCTGATTAGAACTAGAGCACAGTTCTGTGGGGAGGGGGAGGGCGGAAGGGAGGTGGGGACCAGAGTGCATTCTCTCTTCTACAAGTCAGTGGGTGTCACCTGGAACTGGGACAGTCCCGAGGGACGGCCCATGCACCCTGCTAGCTCAGCATCCAGGGCTGTGAGGTTGGGCTGGTACAGCAGGAGGGCTGAGTTCTTGGCCCTGACCCAGCAGGGCCATGGTCCTGTGCAACCTCCCTGCACCTCAAAAACCAAAGTAGCGTGCAGGAAGGGTGAGGGCCCAGTGGCAGCACCAGGGAAGCTACCTTCTTCCCGGCCCTCAGTGACCTGAGGTGGGGCCTCTACCTTAAACTGCCAAGGCAGAGGTGAGAGCCAGAAGGTTCTGGCACATCCGGGGGCTGTGGCTGCTGGACTCAGGGCCTGTGGTCAGCATGGCCCCATCCCTGCTGGTGACAGAATCGTCCCTGGCCATGCTGCCTGCAACCTTTATCTACTGGCCAAGAAGCTGAGATGTTTGCTTTGTAATTTTTTTTCTACTTTTGGCCTACATAATTTGTTCTGGGAACTAAAAATCTAAGCCAGGCATGGTGTTGCACATCTGTAATCCCAGCACTCTGGGAGGCTGAGGCAGGAGGGTTGCAAGTTTGAGCCCAGCCTGGACAGCTTTAGTGAGTTAGCAAGACCCTGTCTCAAAAAAAAAGAAA